AGGTAGGAGGGTCGAGGAGTATTCCAAGCGTAGAACTAAAACAAAATATATAAAAGAACAGGTTTATCTCCCCTATCAACGCTATCACGTTATTTAAGAGGCGGGGCCTCCGAGTTTAAAGTCCTTCTCCAAAAGGACCGAGCTAAGCGGGAAATTCGTGTAAAGTGCCTTTTCCAAGGACACAACGTCGGACCGAGTTGACGCTCGAACCCCTTAACCTGCAATATCACGATTACGAGTCCGGTAGCCTAACCACTAGGCCACCAACGCCACCTGCTAAAACAAACATTTGCAAAGACAAAGGACGCCTGGAGATAGAGAAAAAAAATGGTCCAATTATGTGACAGATATTTTCAAAAATTCAATGTCCAGATAAAGCATTTTTTCCCCGAGCAAATCTTATTTTTGCAAAACTAAATTCAAGATGGTAGAATCTAGATTAGCATTTCCATGAAAATATAAGGCCAATCACCATGAAAGCTGGTGGTGAAATATTATTGCTTCGCCAAGTTCAGTTTCATAGTCAAATTCTAAACTGTAAAAAGAATATTAATAAAAGGCGCCTTCAAGGAATGGAAAAAGACAGAAAATAAGCGATCTGCTACAAATAAAAATAGAATCTAGATCTAGATCATGCCACGGATCATGTACAAACTAACAAAAGAGAGAGGAGGAGAGAGGAAAGTTGGTAAAAGTGAGAGGCCCAATCTTTGAATAGGTCAACCGGCCGTCTTCGAGAAGAGCATGTGAGATACTTTCTTACAAGCCTCCGTTTTTTATTTTATTATTATAATTTTTTATTATTTGATTTTTAATTTTTTAATTTTTTTTTTTTTTTAAATTTTTTTTTTTTTTGGGGGGGGGGGGTATTTTACTCGATATATTTCAGTGCCTTTAATTTATTTTGGGCGTTTCCTAATTTATTTTCGTCTTTTATTCCTGCCCTTCTCACTCCGTGTCTGTGTGTGTTTGTGTAATTGTGAGTGCACGCGCGTGCTTGTGTGTCTGTGTCTCTGCGTATGAGTGTCTGTGTTTTATTCTATGATCTCTTGGGTTATTCCCGGGGGGAGGGGGAGGGGGGGTCGAGTTTACTCTTAGCCCAAGAGGGTGCATAAATAAATATTAAGGCTGATTACTACAAGACTTCTAAAGATTTATAAGTATAGATCTATATATACGAGGGAAAATAAACAAAACTTTTCACGCAAGAGCTAACGGAAGGGACCGCAGAGAATCGATTGTCACTAGATCTATAAGTGTCCAGAGGAAATAATAATCAGAGACTTAATCAGCAGTTACTCAGTTGGGGGTGGGGGGGGTCATCAGGTGATCAGATGTGGTTTGCTCCTTCTTTCCTATCAAACATCTATCTCCTTCATCTCTCCTCCTTTTCTTTGTATGTAACTCTCGACAGTAACAGCAGACTCTAACATTTCTAACCTTCGGCACTTATTTGACCTAGGCCTAGATCTAGATCTAGATCTATTTGTGTTCCACATGCCGTAAAACTCTCACTAAAACTAATAAAACAAATAGTGCAAAATACTTATTACTTTTACATACCTCAGTCAGCGAGAAGACACGGCCGGCCCTGTTGACAGCGCGATTATCATCATCATCATCCTCACCAACTGCTCACCACACAATTACAAAGCCCAAGAAGACTCAATGAAAACACAAGGAGCTCTGACGTCTCTCCCGCTCTAGCGCCGCTCTCGGCTGACGTGTAAACAACTCTCGACATCAAACTGGAACCAAGAAAAGAAAAACAAATAAGCACGATAGTAAACATGCCACGAGAGTCCAGGTACGATGTAGAAAGTTCCTTACAGTTTAATTAATCTAGATCTAGATTCTACTTCAATTGACCTCCAACGCCTGGAGGAAAACTAAATCAGTCACTAGACTAGATATATCTAGATCTAGATCTAGCTGATTCTTGAAGACTTTGTCCAGACAATTCGGATAACATGATTTACTTTACATTGCTTATCGGTTAATTAATATAGATCTATAAAGTATGCGGGAAGCGGCCAAGTCCGATTTAGAAAGTTCCACCAACTACTCAAGCTGATCAAAACCTAACCACAGCGGGCGTATTACTACTTCCATTAATTCACCTTAACCTCTACATAATAGTCGATGAAATAATTCATTTAATACGTCACTGTTTTTAAAAAAAAGAAAGTATTAAAGAAAATATTAAATTGTATTGTGGCGACCGCGTGCATAAAATGCCCTTAAAACGCGAGCATGATACAGGTTATAATAAAAGGGGGGGAAAAGGAAGGCTAACAGCGTAGTAGCACGCGCGCGTTTAACATGTATCAGTCATTCCTCGTGTTCAAAGTAAAGAGAACTGGGCTGTACCAAAAAAAAAATGGCAGAAAAAAACTAAAGTGGAAAAAACCCGGCGTGTTTATAAGCTCGTTGCATAAATACGCGGTGATGTGTGCGTGGCTCCCGCGCGATGCACTGAGGTGTAGACTGTGTGTATGGTCATTCAGTGGGTTAGTCGCTCGCAAAGTCAGTTAGCCAGGCCAGTGTGGCAGCGGGTGTTGGGAGGTGGTGGTGATGGT